TAAATCTCTTCCCAGAATTCTTGTGAGAAATCCCTGGTGCCACCTCTGGTGTAGGCATCATAAACACAGTTCAAGGGCACAGTCCCCATCCTCTAACTATGAATCCTCAAGTGCATTCTGTTGGGGCCCATAAGATGGCTACACTTCACCTTGGCTCTAGGTCAGAGAGTTCAAAACTATCCTTGTAAGTCATAAGACCTAAAGGTCTAAAGCATAGTTACAGTAGGATGTTTGATCTTGGTCTTGGGTGTCTTATCTAAAGAACAACAGAATTGGTCTGAGATGTGGTTACTCTTGACCCTCAAGGCCAGATAATAAGAAATTAAGTCTATGGTGTGGTTACCAAATGCTTGGAGAATTAAGGAAGAATGTCTGTTTATTCTGTGTACATGACACTATGCTCCCCTTTTTGGCTGGGGTATATAAGAATGTTGAAGAATAAACTTGGTACATTCAGTATTCACTAGACTGCTCTCCTGACTCTATCCTGTGTCGTCTTTTTCCTGGCATCTTTACCTGCCATTTCTCAATCCACACTCCCTCTCTCAGGTAGGAACCAGGCAAGTCAGCTGGATCCAACTGAAGGCCCACAAAGATGAGTTCCCACAACATCCCTTCCATGATTCCCTTAGGTTCCCTTCTCACGTTCTACACACACGCACGCACGCACGCACACGCACGCACGCATGCACACGGCCTTTACCTCCTGCTTTCTACCTTGTTTTGAGACAGGATTCCTCACTGAATATGGGATTAGTTGTTTTCAGCTACACTAGGTGGCCAGCAAGTCCCCAGGGTCTGTGCCTCCCCAGCACTGGAATTTCAGGCTGCACAACCACTCCCAGCTTTTTACTTGGGTTCTGATCCAATTCAGTTCCTGGTGCTTGCACAGCGGGCCCTGTATTGATGGGCCATCTCCCTAGTCCCCTTTGCCTGCCTTCGAGAGGTAGCTAAAGAGCTGCTGAGAAGGCTCAGAGCACTCAAGAGCTACAAAGGGCACAGAACAAGGAACACAATGGGGAGTGGAGAGGGGAGAGTGCCAGGACCGAAGAAAGAAGGAAAAAAACAGAAAGCTGCCAAAAGTCAGAGAGGGGAAATACAGGTTCGCCAGGTGGTGGCGCCACACACCTTTAATCCCAGCATTATGGAGGCAGAGGCAGGTGGAGCTCTGTGAGTTTGAGACCAGCCTGGCCTAGAAGAGCTAGTTCCAGGACAGCCTCCAAAGCCTCAGAGAAACCCTGTCTTGAACACCCCCAAAAGAAATACAGGTTCACCAGATTGTGGTGGTGGTGCACACCTTTAAACCCAGCACTCAGGAGGCAGAGGCAGGTGGAGCTCTGTGAGTTCAAGGCCAGCCTGGTCTACAGAGTGAGTTCCAGGAGAGCTAAGGCTACACAGAGAAACCCTGTCTCAAAAACCTAAGTAAATAAATAAATAAATGACCATCACAGGCAGAACTCTGGGAAGCTGACAAGTTACCCTTGGTTTGACAGGGGTAGCTGCAACTGACAGCTGCTAGGTTGAGGGTCCCAGATACCCAGAGCCCACCTAAGAGTCTAACACTAGCAGTTGAGTATGAAACCTAGAATCTCTAACCCAAGCACTTGCAGTCACTAGTCTTGCCATGGAGTCTGCAGTCATAGATCCCTATTCTCAGAGCTTTCAGCTAGATGGCTCTAAGTCTGTCAGCATAACCTAGAAGCAAGCCTTTGGCACCTAAGGGCCCAGGTCTTCAACACCAGAAACACTTCTTGACTACTCATCATGGGTAGAAAAAGCAACCCAACTTTATTAGTAAAGGGATAAGCCATATTAGTATTAACCAAAACTGTGGAACAAGCCACACCATTGCCACACATTCTACAAGGCTGATTAGAACTTCACTGATTTTGGAGAACTGAATGTTATAGGTCCTAGAGCCAAATAATCTTGGGCTAGATATTTTAGCTCCTCAATTAGCCACCTATCCCTACTATATTAGGTAAATGCTTTTGGAATGTAGAAATGGACCCGGCTTTCACCAACCCAGAGGCTAAGAATGTCATCAGACATCATCTGAGGCCTGTAACAGAGGCCTCCCACTTGCTGTAATCTACCTACCTGAGGTTTCCACTAAGGCTTGTTTTCTTTTCTTTCCTTTTTTCTTTTTTTTCTTTTGGTTTTTTGAGACAGGTTTCTCTGTGTAGCAGTCCTGGCTATTCTGGAACTCACTCTGTAGACCAGGCTGGCCTTGAACTCACAGAGATTCGCCTGCCTCTGCCTCCTGAGTGCTGGGTTTAAAGGTGTGCACCACCACCGCCAGGCTCACCAAGGTATTTTAAGTGTCCTCGTTTATCATTTCTGTGTCCTGTTCCTAGAAAAACTTGGTAAAACTTTTATTACATCAGAACTAGATATTTGAGGTGAACTGACTCTCTTCCTGTGCCATAGTCACCCATATTTGGCTTCAGCATAAACACTCATTTGTTTTGAGATTAGGGCTGGGTTTTACACAGACAAAGCTAAAATTTTGCCTGTGGCTGCTAGCTGCTAGCTGCTACTTAGAGCTGAGGATTATACTACCTACCCCACTGGCAATCAATATCCAGAACAGGAAACCTCCAACCTCAGTTAAGGCCGTAAGTCTCTGGCCTTAGCACAGTGGTTCTCAACCTGTGGATCACGACCCACTTGACGAACCTCTATCCCCCAAAATATTTACATGACAGTTCATAGCAGTAGCAAAATTACAGTTATGAAGTGGCAATAAAAATAATTTTATGATTGGAGGTCCGCACAACATGGACAGTATTGCAGGGTGGAAGCATTAGGAAGGCTGAGAACCACTGCCTTAGCACCTGGAGCCCTAACTCTATTCTCAAGACTTGGAGCTTATCACAGGATCTCTATTACTGTGATAAAGCAACACTGTGACAGGGCCAAGGTTCCTCCATCTTGTTCCTGCTGCAGCCACCTAAGGTCGGACTCAGAGCTGACCCCACTCACATGCCCTTCTATGGGAAAGTCCCTTAGAAAAATCACCCAACCCTGTCCCAGGTCAAGATGCACCAGCTAACTGCTGCTTTTTGCTTCTGTCAAACTGCTTGCTAGCTCTACTTGCCCCCTGCAACTGCCAACCACAATACTATTTTTCCTTTAAGCTCCCGGCAGAAAGCAGTTGGGGCTGCTCTGTGAGAGCTGTTTCTCCCCAGGCAGTCGCTGACTAGCTTAATACTCTCAAATTCCCACTCTGGTTTTATCAGTTGGTTCTCGGGGTCTTTTTGCCCCATGACAACCATAACTAAGAGCAACTCTGGGAGGAAAAGGTTTATTTCATCTTACAGTTCCAGGTAAACAGTCCATCATTGAAGAAATCAGGGTAGGAACTCAAACAGTGAAGGAATTTGAAGGTAGGAACTGAAGGACCACAACTTACTAGTTTGCTCTCCTTTCTTTCTTTCTTTCTTTCTTTCTTTCTTTCTTTCTTTCTTTCTTTTTTTGAGACAGTCTCTCTATGTATCCCTGGCTGTCCAGTAACTTACAATGTAGGCAGGGTGGCTATAAACTCAAGAGATCCTCCTGCCTCTGCCTCCCAAGTGCTGGGATTAAAGGCATGCACCATCACTGCCTGGCTTGTTTTGCTTTCTTATAAAACCTAGGACAACCAGTACATTGGTGGAACTACTTATAATTGCTCCACATGAATCACTAATTTAAAAATACCCCCTAGGCAAATATGATAGAGGTATTTCTCAAGTGTGGTCCCCTCTTCTCACATAACTACCTTATGTCAAGTTGGCCAAACAAACAAACAAATAAATAAATAAATAAATAAATAAATAAATAACCAGGACAGAGATGTAGTATTTTGGGTCTTTTAGCCCAACTCATAGGCCTTTGGTACTCAGGACTTGGTGTGGGACTCAGGGCAACTTGGTACACACCTGCTTCTTGGCTGCACTGCTACTGTGCCAAGGCTCAGTGGAGACCAACCAGAAAGTAGGCCTGAAGTTTCAGTTTAACTTGGGGCAACACCTGACTCCAGGAGAGACCACAAACTGGTACCACCTGGACACCACCCAGGAACAGACCATGCAGGGAGAAAGTACCTAACATTCCAACCATGGCAGATAGGATCACCTGATGTCCCTCAGCCTAGTGCATATCCATCCCTTTTAACAAAGACACCCCTAGACAAATGTCGGCCAATCAGGGTCTTGAATCCTGAAAAATTCCCTCACTCCCAACCTCTACTATGGCAAAAATCCTACCCTGGCCAGACTGGACACTCTTTGCTCTCAAACGCTGTGTTGGGCAAGCGAAAAGTCCAAGCTGAGAGTCCAAGCTCGGGCTTAAATAAAGTCTCTTTGCTTTTAGAACAGGACTCGGTCTCCTTTTTGGTCTCTGAGGACTCAGCGATCTGGGCATAACACTTGGATCACGAACACTTGAACATCTTGCCTAATGCACATTCATAGGGCGAAGATGCTCCAACCACCCTGCTAAGAAAGATACAGGCATTTTGGGTACCATCATGTACTCCATCCCTAAACTGGATCTCACATCCAAGACCTGGCCCAGGCAGGTGGTCTCCCCCAGTCCTGGGATCCCTACAGCTTCACAGATGGGCTAAGTCTGTGCATACAGACAGGGATTGCAGGGACGCAGAACCCTGACCCCCGGCCCAGTCCTGTCTCAGCCTCCCTGGTACAGGCCTGCCACCTCGGCCTGAGCTGCTTCACCGTGACTCAGCCCAGGACAGAGATGTTTGCACGACTGTTCCAGAAAAGAGGCGGAGGACAAGGTGGAACCGAGCCGTGGACCCACCAGATTGGTCTCACGGCGAATGACAACATCACGGCGCGGCCCTCTGGGGCGTCACAGCGCGAAGGGATTGGTCCGCCTTCGGTGACGTTTTGGGCGCGCCGGCGAGTCTAGCCTAGCTGTTACACGATTGGTTGACGCTTATATGGCGTCATCGGAGCGCGCCGGGAACGCCCAGGATGCATGACTCTGTATCTGTTGGCTGAGAATAAATGGCCCTGGCTGCCGCTGGTGCAATGCTACGCTTTCCGGCCTTGCGAGAAGTCGGGTGCCACGCGGGGACTCGTGCCGCAGTTCGTACTGCGGTGTCGCCGGGCTGACCACGAAGGAGGACACCGCTTGTCTGTCTCCACCGCCGGCCCCCACGAGAGCCAGGTACCGTGAACTGTGTCATTGTGGGTCGCGCTAAACTAGGGTCACAGGTGCTGCTGAGTAGAGGGTCACAGGAGCTAGTGAACCTGGGGCCGGCGTCTTCGCGTTGTGGGCAGCAATGAGTTACTGCTGTCTTAGCGCAGTGACATCTTACATCCTCAGGTCAACTGTCCTGAACCAGTGTTGTCTGCTAGGCATGGTGATGCAGGCCTGTAGTCTCAGCACTGGGGAAGTTGAGCCATTAGATCGCAAGATCCAGGCTATTCTGAGATAAATAATGAAGACCCCTTCTCAAGAAGCAGTCTACGAACCAGGCACAGTGGTTCACACCTTTAATCCTAGTGCTCCCGGAGGCAAAAGCCGGCGAATCTCCGAGCTAATGGTCAGCATGGTCGGTCTACAAAATGCGTTACAGGACAGGCAGGGCTGCATAAGAAAGACTCTCCTATAATAAAAAAGAAAGAAAAGAAACAATCGGTGGTCATTTGGTAATAGCATCAAGTGCTGGTATCTTTGAATGAAAACATTTCGTAATGTGGATTCTGTTGTGCACGATGCCCAAAGGTTTTGTAGCCAGCGGGAATGAGAATTGGCAGTTAGCAATTAAATACACCTGAGAGGGAAGTGAATGGGGGCTGGCAGGTGGTAGGAATGGAGTCTGAGAACGCGATGCTGCAGCTGAGTCCTTGTAAGGTAAATAGATGTTTACTGAAACCTAAGAGTTCTAGACAAGGAATAGATTAGAAGTCCCCAGTGGACAAATGAAGTGACAGGAAGATGCGAAAAGATCTCTCGGGGACTTGAACTCTGGAAAGTGCAAGAGTTTTGAACCATTTGATGGGTGACAGAAGGTAGAGGAGACTTGGACCTAAGCCTGGTCCCCAGGCTGCCAGCCTTTCTGGTTGTCTATTTCTTGCAGGTGATTAATGACTTGAGCCTCCTTCCCTACTGAGCTCTGGCCTGATATCATTAAGGAGTAAGCACAAAGTAAAACTCAATGCATAAGGGAGGAGGACACAGGGGACAGACCACACTGGGGAGTGTAGTCAACTAATGTCAGTTAGCACCTGGGAATAGAATCTTGTTGATGTCAACAAGTGTCCTGAGGAGATGAAATTGCTACTCAAAATCCAAGGCGATTGCGATTTTCAGTGGTAGCTATGAATTGAGTACAGAAAACTCTTCTCATTCTTCACATTTGTTTTGTTTTTGCCAGAGCTGGGGACTGAACCCAGAACTCCCCCTTCCGCCATGCTAGGCAAATATTCTCTTATTAAGTTAAGAACTTCAGCCAGGTGTTGGTGGCACATGCCTTTAATCCCAGCACTCAGGAGGCAGAGGCAGATGGATCTTTGTAAGTTCGAGGCCAGCCTGGTCTACAAGAACTAGTTCCAGGACAGCCTCCAAAGCCGCAGAGAAACTCTGTCTCAAAAAAACAAAACAAACAAACAAACAAACAAAAAAAGAGAGGCAGAGGCAGGCGGATCTCTGTGAGTTCAAGGCCGGGCTGGACCAACAGCCTCTGAAACAATACAGAGAAACCCTGTCTCGTAAAAACCAAAAAAAAAAAAAACCTCAGGTGCCATAGGTGCCATTCCTTAGAAACCATGCACTATTTTCTTTGAAATAGGATAATCTGTCAGTGAATCCTGACTCCGACTCCTCAACACTAGAATTCCAGTCACTAGCCCCTAGCCCTGGAGTTTTTCTTTTCGAGTCTGGGTCTCACTATATCTCTGTGACTGGCCTGAAACTTGCTATGTAGATCAGGGCCTATTCTCTTCATTTCTAATTCCCACAGGTGATTAATACTTAAATACCTGTGTTTTGGACACCGTGTTCATAATGGAATTTCCTGACTTGGGGAAGCACTGCTCAGAACCGACTTGCAAGCAACTAGGTAAGAACTTTCAAGAGTTCCTTCTAAGAAATGCTATTTCATTGGCAATTTTGTGAGGGACATCTGGCTATTTCATCATTAACTAAAGTCTTGGTCTTTGGCTTCTCAGCATGAGGACTCTGGTGCAGGACACAGGGTCCATTAAACACTGCAGTTTAACATCTACCTAAAGTCAGACAATGGCCACCAGGGCCATGCAGATACAAGTATACAGCTTGGGTGGTTGTGATAGCACAAGAGATGGAATCTGTGTTGAGAAGATAGCTTTGTGGGCCCTTTGTCTCTTGGTTTTATTGCATTTCTAGCTTTGGGACTGGGGTTGTGGCTCAGTTGGTAGAACTCTTTGCCCAGCGTGTATGAAGCTCTGTATTCCATCCCAGCACCACGTGAATCCAGTGTAGCGGCTCATGGCTGTAATCCCAGCACTGGATTGTGGCAGGCAGGAGGAACAGACATTCAAGATCCTCCTAGGCTACATAGTGAGTTCCTGGCCAGACTGGGCTAAACAAGACCCATCTCAATTTTTTTTTTAAATGTCCTCTCCCCAAAGTCGTTTTCTCTCACATGTGACACTTTCAGGATGTATATGTCTCTTAAAGGAATGAGGAGCCTAATGTAAATACGTTCCTGCTTTGATTGGTATGTAGTTCTTTAGTTCCAGACTTTCAGAGGATTTACTGTTTTGTCTTGATTTTTGTTTTTTAGATTTTCTGCCAATAACATGTGACGCATGTAAACAAGATTTCTGTAAAGACCATTTTTCCTATGCCAGTCATAAGTGTCCCTTTGCGTTCAAGAAGGTAACTCATCATCCCGGGATCTAGGCTGCATGCGCCCCAGCCGTTCGGTCCAGTTGTTCTGTGCAGGCCAGAGAATGGTCTCTGACAGCCAAGTTTTGCATTTTGAATAAGTGGGCTTATTAAGTGTACAGCCAGCCAAGGTGAAAGAATCAGTGAGAGAGCTGGAAGAAGGGGAGATGGACGGATGAATAGTAAAACATTGTCCCGTTGGCACCAGAGCATCCAGCAGAAGCAGACTGGGGAGGGTGAGGGAGTTCCCAATTGCTGTATTCTTCTGACTTCCTGTTCCCACTGCAGGTACTTCTCTATCACAGGGTAGGCAGTGGTCCCCTGTTGGAAGTAACTTCTCTTCTTAGCTGTTCTCTATGGCATGGAATTTTTACGTAGTCTGCACTGCTATTCTGCCTGTCACAGAGTTAGGGGGACTGGCCCATCCCAAATCAAGAAGTCTTGGAGGACATGTTGAGACAAACACGATTGGGTTTGAAATGGGGTGGCGATGGGTTGCAGCATGGCTTCCAGAGCTAGCTTGTCTGTGAACTCGGGTGACAGTTTAGCAATATAGTGTACATCACATCAGGACAGTGGATACCAGCCACTGCAGCTGCTTACATTAATTTTACTTTATTTTTACTACATGTTTAATTCTGTTTTTGAGACAGAGTCCCACTTAATAGCTCTGATGGCTTGGTATTTGCTATCAATCAGACTGGCCTCGAACTCACAGAGATTCATCAGTCTCTGCCTCCTACATGCTGTGATTTAAAGTGTGCTCCACCACACCCAGCTGCTTTCTACCTTTTGTGAAACAAGGTCTCTTATTGACTCTGGAGCTTACGAAGTAGCCAGACTGGCTGGCCAACAAGCACCAAGATCTTCATGTCTTTGCCTTCCCATCATTGGAATTGCAAATGCATGCTGCCAGCCTGTCATAGTGGCTGGGAGGCAGATGCAGGAGGATCTCTGTGAATTCAAGGCCAGGTCTATAGGGTGAATTCCAGAACAGTCAAGACTACACAGAGAAACCCTGTATTGAAACAAACAAGCAACAAAATTAAATGCAAGTACCTCACTCTTAGATGGGTGCTGGCGTCCAAACTTGGGTCTCTGAGCCATCTCCCCAGCCCCTTTTAGACTGGGCATGTAAGGGAGTAAACAACCATGGAGGGAGATGACCAAGATTGTGCGGGAGGACTGATCCACATAGCTACTGGAGTGTTTGTGCTCTGAGCTGTCCCTGGCAGGTGCAGGTGCAGACGGTCAGCAGTAGCAGTCTTCTGGGACAGTCAGGAAGTCACAAGAGCCCATGATTGCCTCTGCAGCCTGTGCTCCATGCAGGTGTGCTGTCTCCAGATAGTGTGTTTGTATGGAAGTCAGGACTGTGGCTATAGGCTGTGACCCCTGAGGTCCATGGGGAAGTCTGCACCCACTCAGCCAAACTGTGCTGTGGAGGGGGGTTAGTAGAGGACAACCCCAGGTGCCACTCACCTTGTTTTCTGAGATAGTCACTGCTGCCTATAGTTCACCAAGTAGGTTAGGCTGGCTAGCTAGCAAATCCCAGGGATCCTCCTGTCTCCACCTCCGCAGTGTTGGGATACCAGCATATTCTACCAAACTGGAGGTAGAACTCAGGTCGTGGTGCTTGCTTGGGCTTCTTTGCCAAATGGACTGCCTCCCAGCCCTCAGATCGCACCCACAGTGTGTGTGTCGCACATTCAAGCCTTCACAGTTGGCCCTTCGCCTTCACACACTTGACTTGTACAGCAGGTGTCAAAGTCTTGGTCCTTTGGGTCATTGTAGCAGGAGTTTTTAGGTGATTCCACACTGTCCAGGAGACACTGTGAGGTGCCTGTTAGAACCCCAGGTTCCTCAAGTCCATGGGTTCACTCTGTCCCAAAGGTGACTCAGAGGTTATGTCAGTGAACTCTGCCACTTCCTCTGATGACATATGAACAGTAGGTGACTTTGTCACATGGCTTAACCAGGACTGGCTACAGTCCAGCCAAGTCATTGGGGTGGGTGGGGTAGGTGACTCACGTTCCTGTGAAGCAGGCACAGATGACTAGGTGGCGCCCTGTTTGTGTATCGTCTAGACCTTTCCTTATACCCATCCTGGGAAATGTGTATCCATGATCACACAGGAATCTGTGTGGACACATCAGCCAACTGAGTCAGCCTTCCTGCAGACAGCAGGCCACACAAGCCTATGATCCCTGTTTGCATCTGATATCTTCTGGCATGGATCCCCTTCCTGGGTGGTCCTGGCTCAGAGTTTTGCCCTCACTCCTTCCAGAGCCCCCTCAGTGGCTGGCAGTAGACGGGGTATAGCCTGTCCTTTGCTGAGGCTATCTTCCTGCTTGTAAAGCCACTGTGGGTCAGAGAGGCAGCTGCTCAGAGTGCCTGCTGGTGTTTCCATCTGTCACCTTGGCTCTGAGGGGTCAGGTGGGTCCCCTCCCACAGCCATATCATGCCCACCCACCCCCATCTCACCAGCTTCCTCTCTTGAGGGCCCTGCAGAGCTGGCGGTGGCCTTTTTGCATTTGAATCCCAGTAGATGACTTTGGCTGGTTTACTGTTTTTCTGTAAGATGCTGTCCTGCCAGCCTGTAGTTTCTTGCCTCACCAGTGTGTTCCCCTGTGAGTGTGTGTGCGCGAGATTGTGTGTGACATTTGAGTGTAAGTCTTGGTGTCATTGTATGTTCATTATTTCAGGACGTGCAGGTGCCCGTGTGTCCCCTCTGTAATGTCCCAATCCCTGTGAAAAAAGGTGAGATCCCAGATGTGGTGGTTGGAGAGCACATGGACAGAGATTGCACCTTTCACCCTGGGAGGAGCAAAAAGAAGGTGAGAGTTGGGTTAGGGCTAACACATGATGATACACAGTATAGTGCTGCTGCTGCTGCTTTTTTTTTTGGGGGGGGGAGGTCAAGTTTCTTTCTTTTGAAACAGCATCTTACATAGCCCAGGCTAGTCTAGTATTGCTATATAGTCAAGGATGACCCTCCTGAGTATTGCAGTAATCACTACCATGCCTGTTTTACAGTGTTGGGTATCCAGCCCCAGATGTTGTGCTTGTTAAAGTGTGGAGTGCTGACAGTCAGTGGGAAGCCAAGGTCTTCCTGCATTATGAATGGCTAGTGCTGCACGGAAACAGTTCCTGAGCCTCACGGGGTCCCAGTTTAGGTCCTTGTCTTCAGCAGTCCCCAAGTGTCTCCTGATATGACTTCCTAGAACTTTCTGTTAACTCTCCTTTCCTGCACCCCCTCTGGAGTCAGAAGAAATGGGCCACATTCTTGGTCCTCTCCTGGGGGTGGGGGGAGTGTGCCTGTCTTTGGTCTTTCTTGGGGAATAATGGAACTTCTCAGAGAAGTCCCCTGCCACCCAGAGGGCAGCACAAGCCAGGTCTGTGTGGCCCCTGAGCTGAGCTCTAGCTGCCTCTATCCGAGCAGGTCTGCAGGTGTGCCTCTGTGTTAAAGGTGGGCCTGTGGCCTCTTTGGGATGCGGTCCTGCTGTGCCCGGCCTCCCAGTGACCGTTCCTGACCACTGTGCTTTGTTTCCTCACTGGCTCGCTCTGAGGCTCTTCAGTTAACAGCTGTGTCTTCTCTCACCTGCTAGTGATTTTAGCTTCTCAAATCTGGCTACAACCTTTCTCTCCCTTTCTTCCTCCTCCTACGCCTCAGCTTCCCCCTCCCTCCCTCCCTCCCTCCCTCCCTCCCTGTTTTTGAGACCCAGTCTAGCTGACTACTGATCCCCCTGCCTCAGCTCTCTGAAGGCTGGGATTGCAGGCCTGCACCATCATGCCTTGCTCTTTTGGTTGTTTGCTTTTCTAGACTCGTTCCTTCTAGGGAAACCTCTTTGCTGCCATTTTGTTTATATTTCACGAGGGGAAGAACCTTAACATTTGCAGATCCCTTCCTTAGCGTCCTTCCGCAGGCCACACATTCCCAGGGCCTGAGCTGCAGGCTCAGGAGCCCTCACATCCTGGCAGCTCCTCATGGGAGCTCCCCGTGTGCTTTTCTCCTGCTTATTGTTTTCTTGGATGCTCAGCCTCAGCCCGCCCCACCATTTTCTGGAGTAAGCACACACACATGCATACACACGCGTGTACGCATACACACAGGCAGTAGATAAAGCTTTCTGCCTGGTCAAGTAGGCCTGACAACCTGAGTTAAATCCTCAGAAACCACTGTCCCAGAGCCCCTGAGCCAGTTGCCCTCATGGTGTTGCTGTCACACTCTGCCTCTGCCTCCCTCCCTGCCCTGTTTTCTTTCTGCCTAGTCTTCAGGAAATTGCCTGTTGCCTCCTCCAGGTGCCCCAGCTTTGCTGACTCCGTAGTCAGTGTTTGCCTCTCACCTAGGCATCGTCATTCTGAGTACCCAGTGCTTGTTAGCTCTTTATTTTACCCTTTGAAACAGCTTTTAAAAAGCCAGATGTAGTGTGTGCCTTTAATTCCGCAATTGGGAGGCAGAGGCAGGGAGACACTATGAGTATGGGATATAGCGAGCTCCTGGCCAGCCAAGGCTACATAGTGAGACCTGGTCTTTTATTTATATATTTATTTTGAAAGAAATAAAAGGAAAAGCAATAACTAAAGTTTTTATTTGGGTTTGTGCATGCACATGTATATGTGTGTGTATGCACTGCCCTTGCATGAATGTGCTAAAACCAGAGGAGAATGCCTCCTGGGCTGCTCTATCATCATTCCCTGCCTTATTCCCTTCTGACAGTTTCTTGTTGAGCCTGCAACTAGACTGGCAGCCTGCAAGCTTCAGTGATGACCCCTGTCCCCACCCCTGTCCCTCACAGGCCCTGGTTGCAGGCATGTGTGTAGCCGTGCTCAGCTTTTTACAGGGGTGCTGGAGATTTGACCTTCGATCTTTATCCCTTTACAAGTGCTCTTACCCACTGAGCCATCTCCTCAGCTTCAAGTTTTGTTTTGGTTTTTGGTTTTTCAAGACAGGGTTTCTCTGTGGCTTGGAGACTGTCCTGGAACTTGCTCTTGTAGACCAGGCTGGTCTCAAACTCACAGAGATCCGCCTGCCTCCCCCTCCCAAGTGCTGGAATTAAAGGAGTGTGCCTCCACCACCTAGCTCAGGTTTTGGTTTTTGTTGTTTTTGTTTTTATTGGGCAGTGTTGGGGCATAAATCTGCTGCTAAGCTACAACCATAAGCTTTGTGTGTGTGTGTGTGTGTGTGTGTGTGTGTGTGTGTGTGTGTGTGTGTGTGTGTGTATGATGTGTGTGTGTTTTGAGGGCTGTGTCACATGTGGAGTCAGTTCTCTCCTAACTTAGACTCTCTGAGTACTTAAGAGTGCCACTGGGCTCAACTGCCAGAGTTCATTCCAGCTGGGCTGGTGACATGCTGCTCACAGAAATGACTTTGTTCTTACAGGTTTTCACACACCGATGCTCAAAAGAGGGATGCAGGAAGAAGGAGATGCTGCAGCTGACTTGTGCACAATGCCATGGCAACTTCTGCATTCAGCATAGGCATCCTCTGGACCACAACTGCCAAGCCGGAAGCAGCTCAGCCAGCAGAGGGAGGTAAGCATAGGCTCCTGGTGCTACCAATCTGGTGTGCAGCATGCCATGCAGACAGAAGCGTAGATTCACAGTCAGAGCTGGCGTCCTGTGAAGTTAGTCCTGCAGCTGCCACACTGGGGACTTCAGCATCAGAATTTATTCTTTCATGGGCCGAGACAGAGAGTTGGCAACTAGCTGTCTCCTTCCAAGAAGCCCCACCTCTCCCCGTTTCTGGATTGCCCAGTACTCCCTGATGAGTCTGGCTTTGTAGCACATTGCTCCCATCTCTGTCTTGGTCTTGGTGTGGTTTTCCTAAGTGACTGTCTATATCCTGCCTCCTGCTCTGTTAGGACACTATCGGTTGTGTGGCCTGCTGCCTTGACTGATGGCCGGGTGACTGATGCTCAGTTTGGTCATCTCAGTGAAGACTTGTCTCTAAGTGAGGTCCTTCCTCAGTGCTAGGGGTTGGATTAGGACATTGGCCTATCTTTTGTGGGAAGGGGCACAGGACATCCCTGATTGCTACTTTTGTAAGTAGTAGAAACTTTTGTCTGCATTCACTCCTGAGCCAAAATGAAACATAACTTACTGTGTGTGTGTGTGTGTGTGTGTGTGTGTGTGTGTGTGTGTGTGTGTGTGTGTGTGTGTGTGTGTGTGTGCGCGCGGGCGCCCGCCCCCCACCCACCTGCCCATGTACGCACTTGAGTATCCTTGATTTCCACTTTGTTTGACACAGGCCTCCTGTTTGCTGTGTCGTGTGCCAGCCTGGCTGACCTGAGAGCTCACCTGGAGGTTCCTGCCTCTGCCCCCCATGTCCCTGTAGGGCCCCTGGGATTGCAGACGCACACTAGCATCTGGCTTTTACATGGCGCTGGGAATTAAACAGTCTCCAGGCTTGTGCAGCATGCACTCTCCACTGAGCCGTCTGCAGTCTCATAAGCTACCTTTTAGTTTTTCATCTGTTGTTGGGGGTAAGAGGATACACATGCTACAGCAGGTCATGGAGGAGGAGCTCAGTTACTGTAGTTACACTTGACTTTCTCGAGCTGTTTGTGTATGATCCGATCTGTCTAACTGCATAGACAAGGTGGGCTTTCTTGATGTGGGTGAGAGGGTCTAATAAACACAAATCTGACGTTCTCTGTAGGCCTTCAACATCCGGAGCTCCTGAGCAGAAGCCATCGGGAATCAGTTGGTTGGCCCAGCAACTCAGGTACTAGTCTAAATGGCGTGTGAGACTTCAGCTGTGTCTCTCAAACATGTGATGTGTGCTTCCATGAGAAAGGCCAGGCCTGGCCACAATAGCTATTTCTAGAATGTCTTCCGCCCTTATTCATGACAGACCCCTTCCAAGCAGTTCTGACATGTGTGGTCACCCATCACTTCTTTCTCGTCTTTTTCAGGCGGACCGTGAAGTGACAGCAAGGCTCCTGTCTGGGCCGCACACCCGCTCCTGTCTGTTGGGTTTTAACCTTGGTGATGTGGCCTCGGGTGCTTTCCTGATTCTGCTGCTACACTGAGTCTTTATGAGAACCTCTCCCGTTGACTGTTGAAGTTAGGGCAGAGAGATGGCTCACAAACATGAGGACCTAGTTAGCCCAAGAGTCCATGTTTTTAAAAAAGCCAGATGTGGGGTTGTAATCCCAACACTTGGGCGGTGGAGACAGGAGAATCCCTAGGACTCTCTGACCAGCAGCCTAGCCTAATTGGAGAGTTCATACCACCAGAGGAAGACCGACATACCACCTCAAGAAACAAGGTGGACACTTCTGGGGAGGGACATTGGAGATTCACTTCCGGCTTCACACACACATGTGCACGCACGCGCACACACACACACACACACACACACACACACACACACACACACACACACGATGCACAAATTATTTAACAGAATAAATGAGGCTGTTCAGCACTTGGAGGTGTGTTAGGTTACCATAGCAAGCTGCTGAACTCAGGAGCCAAGGACCTGTGTACACCTCATTAGCTGTGGCTTTGACCTGTGCTGAAACCATTCCAGGACTTGGTGTTCTGGGAAATTCTGTCCCAGAGCTGCTGATGGCTCTACATTCTTCCCTACATGGCTTCAGTAATGAGATGCTTGTGGGGCACAGTCCACTCATGGTGCCCAAGAACACAAGTCAGTGTAGTGCCCTTTCCTGAGCTTGGGCCAGGGCTGCTGTGGAGGGGAGAAGGGTGAGCACGTGGCCTGCAGTAATTTCTCCACCACACTTAGCCATGCCATGACTCCTCATGCCTGGATTCAGGGGTTTTTCTTTGAGACAGTCTCACTATGTACCTCCAGCTGTCCGGGAAATCACTTTATAAACCAGTTTGGCCTCAGCCTGACTGCCTCCCAAGTGAGGGTTCAGGTTTAACTCCCAAGAAGAGCATCGTGGAACGGGAGCCATCTCGAAACTTCTGATGTTGAAATCTGGTAGAAGGCAGAGGGCGTCCTTCTTGGGCTCTATGAGGAACAGTGGGGATGGGCCACATTGATCCTGTGTCACCTGCATGGCCTGACCACTTCTACCACCAGCTGGCCGTGACATGTCTGGAGTACCCTGGTGATGACACCAGTGCTAGATTGATGGACACTGGGTGTCAGGGACAACATGGAACCAGCCGCCCAAGCCAGTTTTGCTCTTAACCCTGATTTCTGACACCTTTGGGAAAGTTAAACTCCCTGAATTACCTAGCAGCATTCTGCAGGTTGTGTGGCCTCTGGCTGTGGCAGGGAGGCTGTGGTGGGTTCACTCAGGCTGTTCCCCAAGGACTTGACTGTGACTGTCTAAGCCGGTGCCTCTCCAGGGTCAATGGGTACAGCTCCTGACTCCTCATTGCACTGCCTTCTACCCCAGTCTCTGGCGAGATCTGAGGGGACTTGGGGTTTGCTCTTAGAACAAGACCCAGGCAGTGGTGCTATCTGCGAACATGAGACATAGTTTTTCTGTGTTTCCACTTCCTAGGATGATGGTAGCCAGTGTAGAGAAACTTTTAATTCCACTTCAGTTTTAAAATAGCTGGGCTCATTCATTAGATAGTGTTTAAGTATGTGAGGGACCTGGGTGTGAGGGTCTACTTTCTAACCATTTTATGAAATAAAAATGCTTCAGCTGAGATGACTCCAAATTGAGATGGGCTGGGCAATGGCCCAGTGATTTAAGAGTTGGACTGCTCTTGAAGATGACAAGAGTTCAGTTCCCAGCACCCACATTGGATGCCTCACAACTATATATAAACCTCAGCTCCAGGGGCATCCAATGCCTCTGTCCTCTGGGCACTTGCACTCAAAGGCACAGACTTATTAAACACAAAGAAAAATCCAGTACATTGGGAAAGGTTAGGGCCTAGCTTTGTTGGGTTAACACCTTGAGTCCACCAGTGAGGAGCTGCGGCCATGATTCCATAGGAGGGCACCTGCCTAGAACCCCTCAGGTCTGGGGCATTGTTTAGTAGTAGAGCACCTGCCTATCACATCTGAGACAAAGGAAGCCAAACAAAATCACCAGGCTTTGAAGACAGTATCAAATGTAAGGCATTGTTTATATGTTGAAATATTTTATATATGATGGTTAATAAAACTAATTTATTTCACATATTTGTTTATTTAGTTTTTTTTTTAGGCAGAGTGATAAATGTGTCATTAATGAGCTCCAGCATGACCTTGGGCACCCACAGAACCCTCCCAGAGGCACAGATGGGAAATGGGACTGAGGCCAGATTGAAGGATGGAGAATATTAACAAGAAAAGGTTAAGGAGATTCTAACACAGGAGTCTGTTTGAAGACTTAACCAGCTGAGAAGCAAGAATTCTAACATAGTAAATCACTTCTTTTGGCCATGCATTCCTCAGCTTGCTCCTCCCAAAGAGCATCAGAATTCAGTTCCCAGCACCCATGTCTGGAAGCTAAGTTTTACTCTACCTCAAAGGGGCTCTGATGCCTTCTGGTCTCCATTGGTACCTGCTATATTCCCATCCTGGGCGCTCCTAGAACCACCCTATGATTTCAATTATAGAAAAGGGAGCAGAGATAAAGGGGTGTCCCCTAAAAATCCATTAAGTAACAAAGATTCCAAAAGATGCCAAAATTCTACATATAGTCACCAAACCACTGATGTTTAAGAAATCTATACTATAGGCTGGAGAGTTGGCCTGGCTGAAGAGAGGTTAAGAAGACCCAGGTTCAATTCTTAGCACCCACATTGTGGCTCACAACTATCTTATAACTACAGTCCCAGAGGATCCAAATCCCTCTTCTGACCTCTGTAGGCACCAGGCACATACATGGTGAACATATGTAAATGCAAACCTAACACACACATAAAAATAAATATAAAACTTAAAAAATTTAGAAGCCAACCAGGATGGAGTCACACACCTTAAGTCACAGCATTTGGGAGGTAGAGGCAAGTAAATCTCTGTGAGTTCAAGGCTAGTCTGGTCTACAAAGAAAGTTCCAGGACATCTAGGGCTGTTACACAGAGAAATACTGTCTTGAAAAAACAACAAAAAACCCAAAAACAAAAAAGTAAAAAGCTCACATCCATACTCTTATTTGTGGTTTATTATTTACTTTTCTGACTTCATTTTTTTTCCTATTTTTATTTTTGTTTTGAGACAATGTCTCATTACCTATCCTGGTAGACAGTGGCCTTTGAACTCAGAGATCTGCCTGCCTGTTCCTCCCAAAGGCTAAGAGACTAAGGGTGTCTGTGAGCCACCACACCCTGCTCATTCTTTTTTTTTTTTTTTTTGGTTTTTCGAGACAGGGTTTCTCTGTGGCTTTGGAGCCTGTCCTGGAACTCGCTTGGTAGTCCAGGCTGGTCTCAAACTCACAGAGATCTGCCTGCCTCTGCCTCCCCACCCTGCTCATTCTTTTGAAACAATGTCCCAAGTATCCAAGGTTGGCCTCAAAGGTAGTCTTGAACTCCCTGATCCTCCTGCCTCCTTCCAGGTACTAGATTTACAGACATTCCTCACTATGCCAGTTTATAAGGTGCTTGTTGCACCCTTCCCCCATGGTAGTCTGTTGACCGCTTGTTACTAGGAGCTTTTAGCAAAACACTTCTCATCCCCTCCTCCCAGAAAGGCCTGCATGCAAGTTCCTGTTTATTGTCTAAATGCTAATTCCTGATTTTGGCCCACCCCTTTGCTGGAGGGCCCTGGGAATGTAGGCTTCTGACCTTGATTTTTTTCCCTCGTAATAATAAATGCCATTCTCCTTGTAAGCATGAGTTGCTGTCCTTAGCTCTGAGCCTTAGATCTTTGTGAAGTATGGTAGCACTGTAGCTGCGAACACACTGGCAGCTCGATACAGTGCTGGTGATTTCACCCATGCTAGGTAAACATGGAACCAAGTGAGCTACAGCCCAACCCACCTATTTTTAATAGACTCCGACTCAGCTTCTCAATGGCTTGTCCAGAAATTCCTTTCTGCATAGAAGCCAAGGGCCCTACTTTATCTGAATCAAGGTCCCTAAAAGATTTTTTAAAATTTAAGGAAATTTGACAGCTCAGTGCTTGCTGAACACTGACTGCTTTTCCTGAGAATCCAAGTTGGATTCCCAGAATTCACATAGTGGCTCACAACCGTCTGAAATTCCAGTTCTGGATAATCCGATGCCCTCTTCTGGTCCCTACAGGCACTGCATGCCAAGGTGCACAGAAAACATGCAGACAAAACACTCATATACATAAATTAAATCTTTATTTTAAAATGAAAGGAAGTAAAAAAGTTTTTGAAGAAATGTGTGTGTGTGAGAGAGAGACAGAGAGAATGTTTTACCCACATATGTGTCTACACTTGTGTGTGCCTGATGTCTTTGGGGGTCAGAAGAGGGTGTCATATCTCCTGATTGGAACATGGTGGTGATTGTGAGTCACCATGTAGGTGCCAGGAACTGAACCTAGGTCTTCAGGAAGAGAACCAAGTGTTCTTTTTTTTTGGTTTTGGTTTTTGGTTTTTTCGAGACAGGGTTTCAATGTATTGTTTTGGAGGCTGGCCTCGAACTCACAGAGATCCACCTGCCTCTGCCTCCCGAGTGCTGGGATTAAAGGCATGTGCCACCAATGCCCGGCAGAGAACCAAGTGTTCTTAACTACTGAGTCATCTCTCCAGACCTGGAAGCTGATTTATGGGTTTATGTTGTTGTTGTTTAAACAGAATCCCAGTGTGTAGGCCAGGCTTGCTAGCTTTGAACTTGAAATCCCACTGCCTCAACCTTCCTAGTGCTAGAGTACTGGGTTTACAGGCAAGAGCTCTCACTCCTGTCAAGCCTATTGGCCTCATTTTTGTGGAGGCTGCTGGGATCTATGCATGGCATAGGACTGGGAGGGCTGATGCATTAGCCAAAGGCTTCCTTCCTGTCTCGTATGGGGCAGACACAACTTCAAATGCTTTGATATCTTAGAGCTGGCTTTGGGAAAGGTCATCCTCCCTGTCTTGGCTGCTCCCTCCCTTTTCTGAGTTGACTTCTGTTGTCACATCCAGTTCATGTTTGTGTGGGGCCCAATGCCTGGCTGTGGTTAAGACCAGAGATTAGGGACAGTGGGCTTGCCTTTCAAGAGTGTGAGCTGCAGTTTCTGTCCTTTTCACAAGATGTCACCAAAAGGCCTTCTTTGAAATAGAGGTTGACAGTGCTGCAGGCCCTTCCTGGGAGGCACTGAAGAGCTAGGTGGTGTCCCTGAAACCTCACCTCATTTCCATAGCTGGGGACTAACAATGGTCTCTTCAGTTTCTTGGCTACAAAATGAGTTTGGGAAGTGGGTGTGTGGGTGAATTAGACTTCCTTCCCCAAAGTCAAGCTTAAAAAGGAGGGTCTTTGTCGTCTTCTATGGTTTACAAGTGTCTTTTTTTTCCGTGTGTGTGTGTGTGTGTGTGTGTGTGTGTGTGTGTGTGTGTGTGTATGAGTATGTATGTGAGCACGCTTGTGTGTGTGGTGTGCATATGTGGACGTGTGTGTGTGTGTGTGTGTGTGTGTGTGTGTGTGTGTGTGTGTGTGTGTGTGTGTAGGCCTAAAGTTGATATCAGGCATCATCCTCAATCACTCTCCACTTCATTCATTGAGGCAGGCACTCTCAATTGATCACAGAGTTCGATGATTCAACTAGTCTGGCTAACCAGGTTATCCTGGGGTTCCTCTGTCTCTGCCTCCTGAGTACCAGGATTACAGATAGCTGCCATGCCTGCTTGCTTATTCACTTGGGTTCTGGGGATCCGGACTCCTGTCCCCACACTTGTGGAGCACACACTCTATCCATTGAGCTGTCTCCCAACACATGTTTTCAAAGGTCTTGAAAGGAGTCTAGAGGGGAAACCGGCCTGACTGTTCTTCTTGTCCTGAGTAAGGAATGACTTATTTTTCAGGAACAGTGTGAGAACTTACAAACAGGGGTGGGAGGGATGGCTCGGTAATTGAGAGCACATGCTGTTCTTCCAGAGGGCCTCGGTTTGACTCCCAGCACCCACAGCAGGTGACTCACAATATGCTCCAGGGGCCTCTGGCCCCTCTGGCCTCTGAGGACACCTGCACTCCTGTGCACATCCTAACACACAGACACCCACCCCACACATGTAATTTAAAATTCCTCACAGGTGTGCCCAATTTTGGGATTTAAGCTAATTCCAGATGTAGTCAAGTTGACAACCAAGAATAGCCATCTCACAATTCCTGCAAATTGTCCTCTGACACAGGTGCCATGGCACATGCATGTGTGTGCAGGGACACACAATAAATTGATAATTAAAATACAGCCAGAAGATGGTGGCACACGCCTTTAATCCCAGCACTTGGGAGGCAGAGGCAGGAAGATCTCTGAGTTCAAGGCCTGCCTGGTCTACAGAGTAAGTTCCAGGAGAGCCAGGGCAGAACAAACAAACAAACAAACAAAAAAAAACCAAATTGACAGCCACTACCACCAAAGGAGATGAGCACTTGACTGATGTTTGTTTTCATTTATTTGTTTATTCCATCCTCTACTTCTCCCTCCCTATGGTCAGGACCATGGGTAGGGCTAGCTCAAGGCAAGCCTGGGCTACAGTTGAGTTCAAAGCTGGTCAATGAAACCAAATGAGACCCTATCTCAGAATAAAAAGCAATAGGAGGGGGTGTCAAGGGGCTCCTGTTGCTCTTGCAGTTAGCTCCCAGCATCCATGGTGGGGCAGCTCATAATTGCCTATGCCTCCAGTTCTGGGGCATCCAGCACCTTTGGCCTGCCTGGGCACCTGCACTCATGTACACACACACACACACACACACACACACACACGCACGCACGCACGCACGCACGCATTCTCACCTCACACAATTCAAATTAAGGATGGATCTTTGGTTTGGTTTGGTTGGGGTCTTTTTGTTGTTTTTAAGACAGGGTCTCAGCCAGGTGGTGGTGGCACACGCCTTTAACCCCAGCACTCAGGGAGGCAGAGACAGGTGAATCTCTGTGAGTTCGAGGCTAGCTTGGTCTACAGAATAAGTCCCAGAACAGCCAGGGCTACACAGAGAAATCCTGTCTTGGGAAAAAAAGACAGGGTCTCAATATGTAGCCTTGACTATCCTGGAATTTTCTATGTAGACCAAGTTGGACTTGAACT